AACCACCCTGCAAAACGGACCGCCCTGAATAACTTTTGATCTAATGATTGGATATTCACGTTTTAGGACTCGATCTTAATGGTTCTAGGGAACGATCTCAAATATATTAGTTAATTAGCGCTGACGATATATTAAAAAAAATGTCAGACACAAAAACGTACTTTCTCAGAACAAACATACCCCTTTTTTTTCTATGTATTCGGATTTCTGACCGCGGAATATAGAGGTTAGCCGTAACCTCGGAAATATGGTCCCCATAGTTTAAAAAGGAGAGAGATCCAAAGTTTGGACCCTTTATGTTAATTTTACTTCTTGCTGAACTCGCTGAGAAAAAAAAGTACGTTTTTTTCAGTATGTTTCTGTGTCTGATTTCGTAATTTGAAATATCGTCTGTTATAATTAATAGTCATATTTGAGGTCATCCTTTTGAACCATTAAGATTGAGTTCCAAAACGTGAAGAGCCAATCATTGGATCAAAAGTTATTCAGAATTGTCCCTTCTTTTTGGAGCCCTGTACAGGAACACTCAAACAATTTAAATCACCTGTAAGTATTTTTCCTAAATTATTGACATTAAGAACGTAAAATAAGTAAAATATTTCAACTAAATATACTAATGACATTAATTAAATTTGTAATTTTTGATAAATCAATAAATTTATATTTTACCATACAGCAGAAGATGCTTACGTTTCAAAAAGAAGAAAAATTCTTGTAAAAAATTGTTTCATAGATGTTTTAGAAATATTATCTTATAACTAATAAGTTGAAAATTGAAATATTTCTGGAATGTTAAACCGGATTCAAAATCTCAAAAATAGGGAGGGGTAGAGGTATTCACAATTCGGAAAGTATGATCCAATAGTTTTATCAATATTACGGTCAAAACTGTAAACTATAAGAAATTCCGGTGTAAAGTTCCGACACTTTAGATGCATTATCCGAAAAATCCATTTTTCCCGTAAAATATTGTACAGTAATTTTTACAGTACTATTTATTTAATTCGAGCGTTACTGTGATTTTACGGTAATTTGTAGTAATTTAAAATAGCATAGTTTGTAATGATGTTGCGACTAATCTACCTTGCAATTTATACTTTCAATTACCTTGAATCAAAAATTAATAGCAAGTGGAATGTTTTTAATTTTAGATAGTCTAAATAGTGAAGAAACCTTATAAGCTGATGGGAATTAAGTGCTGTTTTATTTCCACAAGAAACTCATAAATAATAGAGTCAAAATCAAATGACGAAAAATAACTCAAAAATCATGCTCTAGTTTCTATAGTTAGAAAGTAGGGAAAAAGGAATATTTTGTGATTGGAGACACGCCAAGCATAACTAATGAGTAAAATGCTTAAAAATGAACGCCGAAAATATAAAATTAAAAACATGAAGCTTTTTAGAACTAGAGCACAAATAACTTCTATTATCAACATTTTTTTTATTATTATTTTTTACGTAATAAGGTTTAAGTATTAAAATTTTCTGTTTTAAAAAAGAGATATCGCCATAGCAGGATCAAATAAAATGAATAATGCGATGGATTTTTTGACTATTATTACTTGTAAATGCTAATTTTGTTATGGGGCTGGCGCTCTTATGAACTGAAATACTTTTTAGATGCTTAATTACTGGACAATTACTTGAGGCAATTACTGGAGTCTGAGCGAAAATGAATATTTTGCTACAAATTTTATTTTTGTAAAAAAATATGAATGTTTGGAGACTTTGAATTATTTTTCAAACTTAAATTACATACGTGAATTGTTGTAGTCTTATAAATAATCATGATAATTGCTTTGAGTAGCTCCCTCATTTCAATTGAAAAAAGCAGGAAAAAGCAGCCTCATTTTTTTTTGAAAAAAGCAGGAAAATAGGAAACAGGAAAGCAGGAAGCAGGAAACTCTTAATGAAAAAAATCGAAGAGAAATAATTAAATGAACTATATTAGCTGCAGAATAATATTTCAAAGGACGCAATATTACATTTAAACTAATTTAATTAGTTACTTTGATATTAGTTACTTTGATTAGTTACTTTTATTTTATTTTAGGTTTTAGGTTATTAAAGGTTTTAAGTGCACTTTTTTAGAATTAATTTTAATTATACTATTAAGAAATTTTTTTTAAATTTTTTTATCTTTTTCTTCCACTACGTTAAAGTTGTATAATTTTATTTAAAAATTTATTTTTTCAATTTTTTACTCTTAATCGTTTTATTTTTCTAAAAGTTATTGCTGCATTTTTTTCTTCTTATTATTTTGTTTTTTTGAGTTTAAAATTCAAATTTGTAATTTGAGTTTTGGTGTCCATGCTTAGGATTAAAAAGGTTATAAAAATTTTGCTTTAATTATAAATTTTATCATAATTGAAAGAAAACCTATATTAAGTGGTAAAAAACTATACCTCTAGTGCCACAAACTTGCAATTTTTTATTCATTACACTTTGGAAAAAAAGTATGGTCAAAACTACCAGAATATGGTAAAATTTACTGTATTTCCGGCTCTATGATAACACCAAAAAGCTCGGTAATTTTTACCGAAGAGCTTAGATAATGATTCTGGTGAAGCTAACAATAAAATATGGTTTTATAATATTTGTTAAAATTTGGTAAATGTAGTAAAATTTGGTAATTTTTTCATGAAATCTTAGAACATGGAGAATCTTAGAATTATTACCATATGAACGGAAAATTTGACAAATGAATGTTTCAAATTCATTTTGATTTTATACTCTGAATTTTTTTTAAATATTTTTTTAAACCTGAAACGTGATCGTCAAACATTGATTTAATTTTATCATATTTTTTTTCTCAGTGATGGAAAACAACTCAATTGTTTTTTTAAATATTAGGGAAAATCTCTTCGAGAGTAACTAGCCGGCCTTGCGTCACACTACACAAAAAACTATATATAAAAAAAAAATATAAAAAAACTATGACCTCACAGCGTCAGTCCAATAGTAACATGATTTTAATTCATGATCCTTCTTTAACCAGCGGGAATGTTCTATGTTAGGGAATTTGATTAAAGTAAGCAGGTAGTAACTTTTGCAATTTATTTACCATAAAAAACTCAAAACGTTTTTTTTCTGACAGTTCTACGGGACAAATTACTTAAAAAAATTAACACATTTAAATTAATGAAATTTTAAGTTTAAATATCTGTTAGTAGTTCTTTAAGTCTAAATATATTTGAGGAGTTTTAATCTGATAAAAATTAGTCAATTGTAGAAAACAGTTCAATTTCAAAATGTCCGTATAAATTCATTTAAATCCAAAATGAATAAAAAATAACCAAATAAATGCTATCTAACTAATATCCCATATTTTGTCACCTTGATTAAATCATGTTTAAAAATAAAATTAAATATCGATTTCAGGAAATTTCTATGAAATATATAAATAATAAGTAAAAAAAAAAATACAAAATACATAAATAAAAATATATAAATAATAAAAAAATTAGGTTTCTGAACATAGTTTATATCTGTTTTATTTTCGAATGAAAGTATATAAATCTTGAAGAAAATGCTAACTGGAACCCGATTTCTTCAACTGCGTCAACGACAGCATCTTCTTTCCAAACAACAACAAAACCCCAAGGCTATCCCGAACAACAAAAACCAAAACAACCATTTTTTTGAGCTGAAATACAAAGAGCAAAGAGACGCCCTGTATAACCACCGATTCATCTCGGAAGAGAATTAATTAAATAATTATAATTTGTAAAAATTTATTGAACTAAAGAATGTTTGAAAATAAAAGATAAATATCGATTTCAAGATATTTCTGCAAAAAATAATAATTAGAAATTAGGTTTCTGAACATAGTTTATATTTGTTTTTCTTTTCGTATGAATGTATATAAATACAAAAAAAAAAAAAAATAATAAATAAATAAAAGTTATCAAACTGGAATCCGATTTCTTCAATGGCGTCAATTAAAGCATCTTCTTTCCAAACAACAAAAACAAAACTCCAAGGCTACTCCGAATCTATCGAACAACAAAACCTAAAACAACCATTTCTTTTTACTAATATACAAACTAAAAAGAGACTCCCTATACACCCACATATTCATCTTGGAGGATAATTATTTGAATAATTATAATTCATAATTATTATTTGAGCTAAATGTTTGAAAATAAAAATAAAATCGATTTCAAGAAATTTCTACGAAAAATAATAATTAAAAATTAGATTTCTGAACATAGTTTATATTTGTCTTTATTTTCGTATGAATGTATATAAATACAGAAAAAAAATAAACGTTATCAAACTGGAACCCGATTTCTTCAACGGCGTCAATTAAAGCATCTTCTTTCCAAACAACAAAAGAAAAACTCCAAGGCTATTCCGAATCTATCGAACAACAAAACCCAAAACAACCATTTCTTCTTACTAATATACAAACTAAAAAGAGACTCCCTATACATCCACATATTCATCTTGGAGGATAATTATTTGAATAATTATAATTCATAATTATTATTTGAGCTAAATGTTTGAAAGTAAAAATAAAATCGATTTCAAGAAATTTCTAAGAAAAATAATAATTAAAAATTAGATTTCTGAACATATTTTATATTTGTTTTATTTTTGTATGAATGTATATAAATACAGAACAAAATAAACGTTATCAAACTGGAATCCGATTTCTCCAACAGCGTCAACTGAAGCATCTTCTTTCCAAACAACAGAAACAAAACTCGAAGTCTATTCCGAACCTATCAAACAACAAAAACCAAAACAACTATTTTTCCGAGCTAATATACAAACCGAAAAGAAACGCTCAATACACCCACATATTCATCTTGGGGGGAAAAGAGAAGAAATTCGAGAACAGAATGATCTCAGCGACTCAAAACGCGGAAAAAGTTTTGGAGCCTGCTTTGGAGGGAGGGTCACTCTTCTCCCACCCGCTACCCATATATGTCTATGGAGGAGAGACGACGAATGGCTGACTCCTTATGAAGTTAAGGAAGAAACCGTGTGCAAAGTGATAGAAAACTCTGGGAGACTTCGTGATCCAATCCCTCCAAGTTTACCACTTGTGGTTTAGACTTAGTGCAGTGTAGATCGCTTTTGGAAAGTGTGGTGCACCTCCTGGCCATTTGGTTATTTTTTTTCAAGTTCACTTTCCTACCTAAAAACAGGTCAGTTGTGCTTCATTTATTGAACTTTTGTTAGATATTAATTTAAAAGTCTATTTAATTTAATTGATTTAATATTCTGTAGTTTAAAAGAAAAGGTTTTACTTGCGTTATTTTTCACACGATATTATATTTCTTTTAAAATTCATTGTTAATCTTATTTATTACTTTTTCAGACTAGATTTGTATCTGTAATAGTAATCAATTCATTTTCAGCTATTGAATTTAAACTAAATACTTGAACTTAATTTATGTAATTCTGCATTTTTTTAAAAGTTTTATTTCAATTACTTCTTTTGAAATTGAAACTAAAAACACGAGAACTTGTGTGTTTTATAAGTTATTTAATTTTATTAATTTATCCATTTTAATTATTCGAAATACTGAAAGAATTTTTGTTTAAATGTGACTTTTTTAAATAAATATTACAATAATAAAACGGTAGTTTCAGCATAATTTGAATCAACATTTTCACTAAAAATATCTTGAACATGATTTATCGCTAACTTTGCTAAGTCGCTGCACTCTTTAATAATTTCTTTAATAATTTCTGCATAACTGAATCATTGAATAACTGAAATCTTTTTAATGAATTTTATTCAATATCTCCTAAATAAATTTAACATTACTGAAAACAGAAAATTTATATTTTAAGAAGAAATTGAGTAAAAACCAATAGGAAAATATAACAATAAATGTATTTATTATTTTTTTTATTTTCCTTTAAAATATTTTATATTTCAAACCTTTTAAAAAAATATTTTTTTTGTTTAACAAATTTAAAATTTAATTTAAATGCATCTTACAAGATTCAAATTTTAATTTTATTGCAAAAAGGAATTTAAAGATTTTAAAATAGTTTTTTCTTTAATTAACGATGCTTCATATTGTTTCATAAAAATTCACACTTAAGTTATAATCACTTAATTATTTTTGTATATTAATGTGTATTTTTATGAATGAAATGTAAGAAAAATTAATGAAAATACATTATTTATTTTTTTGTTCAACTTAAGTTGTGCTTAAATAAAAATTATTGTTTAAAACTGTATTTTTAAAAGCTGGTTTTACATTAATTTGTTGCTGCTGCAAAAATGTTTACAAGTTTAGATATTGTGACTCAATGTAAATTTATAATATTTTGGAATGTTTATTATAAATAAAACTTTGACCTCAACTTAACAATAAAACAATCGTAAAATGTAAACAATTGTATTTATAACTTTTTTTTAAAAAAGTTAATAGACTACCGACTTAATGCAAATAATAAATTTCATAAGTGTCTAAATAGAGCTTTTTTTCTTCCAAGGCAAAACCTGATATAGCTTTTCGTAAATTTTTGACTTGCTTTACATTTCTCTCGAAACTTATCATACTGGTTTATACATATATTTTATTTAACAGACATTTTATTTAAAAACTCACAAGCGTAATTTACATCACTTGTATTTGATATCGTTTCATATTGATAGGGGTAGGGAAGGCAGGCATTCCTTATCCATAGCTACGATTATGTTAAAAAATAGCTACACATATGGCATAAAATATTGCATTTTGGTATTTGTGATGTTAAAGAAACTATAATAAATATATGCAAACGATAGAAATTTGTATTTACTCATGCTTAATTGAATACGCATGAGAGGTAGATCTGATAATAACCAGTTACCACTAGCCAAGTGGCGAGTCAACAAAATGAAGTGGCGACTTAAATATAACAAACAGCCTGTCACTTTTTACCATTTTTTTAAAAAATCGTTATGATAAAAGTACATAAATCTGAAAAACAGAACTTTCGTTAAAATAACCAATGTTTCTATTTAAAATTTTGATCCTTCCGAATCCATCAATTTGTGATGAAAGGGTTCATGTAAAAAAAAAAAAAAAAAAAAAAAAAGAATTCATTAACAATTTACGTAATTCAAAGTTGTAAAGTAAATATGAAATGTATTTCGCCTCACCAAATATTTTAATCCTTTATCAAAGTCAGCATGTTTAACTAAAATTTGAAACTTACTTAAATTATTTTTATTGGTTAATTGACTTTTTAAAATCGTAAATTATGCATAATATGAATTTTTTTTTAAGAATTATATTATTTTAATATCATATTGTGTCATATACTTATCATATTGTATCATACACATAACATATTGTATCATAAATCATATCATATACACATTTGTTATTAATATATAATTTAATAACAAAGTCTGTAAAAATTGTTATTAAATGAAAAGGACCTATAGATATCGGTCATCGACTCATTAGGTTTGAGAAAAAATTGGCTACTAAGTTATTCGCGTCTACTGGCCACTGGCCACAGAAAATTTAAATTTTCAGGTCTAGTGAGAGGACATTTAAATTGTTTAAAATATTGAGAATTAAATTATTTTTAAATATTATTAAATATACTTTAATTTAAAATTAAAATGAAGAAGCTTATTTTGAGCAAAAACTATACCATTATATTTTAAACTTTCATAATAACAATTTTATACATAATATGCAATAATATTAATTATAAAAAACAATTATTGCGATTTTTAAAAAAGAAAAAAATGCTTTAGATAAATATTAAAATCGAGTATTCCTTTTTTTATTAATATCGATAACAATTAGAAAAAGAAGATTCTCTGTTTCATACAGTTCGATATCACAGGGAAATAAAATTACCAACAAAAAAACAAAACAATAATGACAGATTGCATTAAAAGTTATGTTAAGAATTCCAAAGTTACATTAAAACCTCTATAGTAAAAAGAATTCTATGATATAATATAAATTCTATAATATAATAAAAAAGAATTAATCATCATTTTTGTTAATTTCTTCCCTAACTTTTTAATACTTTAATACGCAATAGTTATGGAGGTAAAGATTTTTAAGAAATAGTTCAATTTATTAAAATAAAATATATGTTTTTGTAATATAATCTTCTACGGTGAGCTCTTTTGATGGCTCAAACTTTTGTCAAAGCTATTGCCAAAAGATGAAGTGATAATAAATCATCAACTCCCAGCTATTTAAAGGCTGAAATCATCAAAGGTTTGGAATGCTTTCAGGCGGGGGATGTGAAACACTGCTTTAAATTTAAACGGGTTAATAATAGAATGACTTTGAACTCCAGGGCAAGAACTGTTTGTTTGCACACAATTTTTTGTGTGTGTTTTAATTGTGACTGTTAATCATGAATTAAGTCTGCTTTTCGAAAACTCGTTTACCATGGGAAAAAAGGAAGCCACCGTTTGAGTACCTTAAATTCGAAACAAAGCTTTAATTTTAAAGTTATGCGTTTAAAAAATAATAAACAATAAATGTAGGAAAATAACTTCTTCTATTATTCACCATTTCAGAGTTTAAAAAAAATAAATTTGACAAAATTAAAACTGATATTTACCTAAGTCACGCAATAAGTACGTCGATAACATTTAAAGCAATCTATGCGTTTTATAAACATTTGAAATCTTTTAGAAAATGAGTCTTTTTTATTTTTTTATTTTTATTATTTTTTTTTAAAGTTTGCTTGAGAGTATTAAAATTTTTTTTACATAAATATGTGGAAATAACTTTGCACTTTTGAGATTTTTTTTTGTCATTTTCCCGAAATATCTGAACATTTTAACTTTAGAATTTATGATACGGAAACTGAGTATTCAATCAACGTTAAAACTATTTTATTAGTAGTAAAAATAATCATGATGATTTGCATTCTCTAATATTATGTTTCCAGTTATCGCCTTTATCTTTAAATAAACTTCTCATGACAAATTTGCTTTTATTATCAAATAAAAAAAAATATTAAATAATTTTTTTTTACATTTTTATTATTAAGCAAAAAAAACAACCTTTTACCTTCATAAACATGGATTTATCCTAAGTATTTAAAGTTTAATAGTATGATTTCATTATTTTTAATAGTAGTGATGATAAGCGAAAAATACAGCGATGGTACAGTGCTCAAGACAATGAGTTGTCAATGTGAAGGCTAGGTACTATGGTAGCTTAAAGCTCACCCAGCTTCTCAGAGAAATCAAGTCAGACAGTATGATGTGCACCACTTTGCTATAAACAGGCAGTTTGTCTTGTCAAATGGTGGAGCCTTAAACATCTTGGCTAAAAACGGTTCTCGTGAGAGCATTTTACTTGATTGAAGGCAACTAAATAAGAACATATTTAACTACATTATTAGTGATAAAAAACTTATGTGAATTATTCTTTTAACTTGAACCGTACATTAAATATTGGAAATGTACAGTGGAGATATGAATACATTTCATAGAGTACGATTTGTGCACAGACTCATATTTTTAAGGTTATAAGATTATTATAAATGTTTCTACTTAAAATAATGGAAACTCAAGTGATGAATTCATGGAAAATATAAACTGGACTGGAATGAATTAAATATTGAACATCCATCACTTTTTTCACTTTTACGAACGATTCAAGAGATTTCAAACTGTTATGAGATCAGTGGTGTACTAAATGGAGGTGCACGATCAGATTTGGAACTTCTGACACCTCATAATTCGGATATGACTCTTTACCAGCCTTTTGCTTCAGATATTGCTTATTTAGGTTAGCATTTTTTGGGTTTCATGAAAAGAGCTTTAATTCGTATGATACTACAAAAAATATGTGGGATCCTTTTACCCTTTCAAGACCAGTTTTTTAAATTTTCCAACTGAAAGACAAATTACGACTTTAATAACAATATTCTGCCAAAATTGAATAAAACATTAACAATTTGGACCATTAGGGGTGGAACATATGTCTCCCCCGGGTTTTTAGGCGGGACATATATGTCCCATAAAATTATGTCTCACATGTTCAACTTTTAAAAGCTTTTATATTGCTTTGAAAGCATAAGTTGATAACGAAATAAAACGGAGCTATATGCAGTTGCGAATGATTACTTAAATCTTATACTGCAACGGCCTTTTCTTAACTTTCAACGGAGTATAGTCTTAAAAGAGAAAAAACATTTTTCACAACGTTAT